ATCATCGCTCTATAAAAGAACTGCCGAAGAGACACCAAATAAAACTATCACCGCTAAAACCAACGATAGAGGTACCCAAACAATTCAGCCGCAGCAAACACCAGTTATATCCAAACGGTTAAGAGAAGAAATCGAAAAAAGTAGGAAGACACCGCCTAAGAAGACGAAAACAAATCGAAAGTAAATATTGAGATTTTTAAAATAATTTTTGAAAAATACTATTAATTGTTATTTATTCTAGGCTAAGTCTAAGGAGGCAAGGAAAGCATTGGAAAGCAACTTAGATACGGTGGCCGGAACGAACGACAACGCTGATGTACTTCAAGCATCAATTGAAGACAACAACAAACGACACGCTTGGGTTTTACAAGCAATAAAATGCGTGAAACCATCTCGACCGGATGTAGTGATCATTAAACCGTCTGAGAAACTTTCCTTTGCGGACATACTCCGGAAAGTAAAAGGAGCTCCAGAGCTTAAAGCAGTCGGTAATGATGTTCACTCTATCAGGAAAACACAAAAAGGGGAACTTCTGCTTGAATTCAAAAGATCAACAGAAACAATAACAAGTGTCCACCAAGACCACATCAAAAGTATACTACCTGAGGAAATAGAGGTCAAAACGCTAACGAAAGAAGCTACCTTTGAACTACGATACCTGGACGAAATAACCACAGAAGAAGAAATAATTGATGCATGGAAAAACCAAATAGGCGAAATACATCCCTCGGCGATCAAAACAATAAAAAATGTCCCTGGAGGTACCAGAACGGCTATAATTGTAATACCAAAGAAGCAGGCCGGTAAAGCTGAGGAGGTGGGCAAACTACGAGTTGGATGGACCGTGTGCCGATTACTCCAAAAAGTTACCCCCAGGAGATGTTACAAATGCTTCGATTTTGGACATGTTGCAAGGAACTGTCAGAGCTCCAAAGACTGGTCTAAACACTGCTACAAGTGTGGTGGAGAAGACCACCTTGCTAAAGCGTGTCAAGGTGCCCCTCACTGCCTACTTTGTAGAGCTGACACAAATATTGACACTAACCATATTACGGGAGGACCTAAATGTCCCCACTACTTGACTGCCCGCCGGAGGATACTAAATAAAAAAAGATGAAAGTTTTACAGCTAAACTTAAACCACTGTGAAGCGGCACAGGATCTTTTAAAGCAGACTGTACGCGAATTAAAAATAGATCAAGCTATAATGAGCAAGGGGTCGCGAAATATTTATAGCGCACCGAAGGAGCCCTATTTAAACATCGATAACTGAACACTAAAAGTTTCGATATCGAATAGCAAGGCAAGATGCTTCAAGGAAATGTGTGAGGAGGTCGATAATAACCCCTGGGGACTAGGACATAAAGTCGTTATGAAAAAATTATATAGCTACCGTCCACCAGTTACAACAGACGCAGCTAAGCTACAAGCAATAGTTGAAGGCCTCTTCCCTCAGAGAGCTGATATAACCTACACAGTACAAGATAGTGAGCCACAGACTGAAATACCTGAGGTTAGCAGGCAAGAATTGGAAGTAGTATGCAAAGGTTTGAAACTAACCAAAGCACCTGGAGTAGATGGAATACCAAATCTGGCACTAAAGATGGCCACAGAAATCAACGTTGATTCATTCAGGGAAGTGTTCAACGCATGTATAAAGGAGAGAACATTCCCCCAGATATGGAAAATACAAAGGTTGGTGCTTATACCAAAGGGCAATAACGTACAAGATGCATCAGGCTACCGCCCGCTATGTATGATTGATACGGCCGGTAAACTTTTGGAAAAGATAATTAGCCGAAGACTAGAAGAAGCCTTGAATGGCAATGGTTTATCAGATAGACAATTTGGTTTTTGGAAGGCACGCTCCACAATAGAGGCCGTGGAAGCAGTCATAGCCATAGCAAAAAATGGCATTAAAGGAGACCGTTGGCTCGAAGGAGACAAAGAATACTGTGTCATCATTACATTAGACGTTAAAAACGCACTTAACTCAGCGGACTGGGACACTGTTCTAGCAGCACTTCAAAGGAAAGACGTTCCAAAGTACCTAGTAGAATTAATCGTTGACTATTTTAAAGAGAGAGTGCTTTTGTATTACACAGACAGAGGCACAAAGTCATACCAAGTAACAGCAGGGGTACCACAGGGCTCGGTACTGGGTCCAATATTGTGGAACATTATGTATGACGATGTGATCTTGTTGCATTGATATCATCGCTCTATAAAAGAACTGCCGAAGAGACACCAAATAAAACTATCACTGCTAAAACCAACGATAGAGGTACCCAAACAATTCAGCCGCAGCAAACACCAGTTATATCCAAACGGTTAGGAGAAGAAATCGAAAAAAGTAGGAAGACACCGCCTAAGAAGACGAAAACAAATCGACCCGTGGGGGCAAATAATACTAAGTCTAAGGAGCCAAGGAAAGCATTGGAAAGCAACTTAGAAACGGTGGCCGGGACGAACGGCAACGCTGATGTACCTCAAGCACCAATTGAAGACAACAACAAACGACACGCTTGGGTTTTACAAACAAAAAAACGCGTGAAACCACCTCGACCGGATGTAGTGATTATTAAACCGTCTGAGAAACTTTCCTTTGCGGACATACT